TATATTTTTTAGTGTGTGTTTTTTGTGTAGAGTTTATATATATTTTTGGTGTGTTTTAGGTGTTGTGTGTGTAATTGATTTTAGTGTGTGTCTTTGGTATAGTGTGTGTAATTCTTTTTAGTGTGTGTTTTCGGTGTAGTGTATGTATTCTTTTTAGTGTGTGTTTTCGGTGCAGTGTGTGTAAAAACTTTTTCACGATCAAAATCACAAAAAAATGTAGTACAAAAATTTAAGTTAAAATTGGTGAAACGTCCAAAAAACTATTTCGCGATCAAAATTACAAAAAACTGTATACTGAAAAGTACACAGATTTAAGTTAAAATTGGTGGAACGTCCAAAAAACTGTTTTGCGATCAAAATCACAAAAACTGTACACTATAGTACACAGACTTTGGGTAACATTGGTGGAACGTTTAAAGAACTATTTCACGATCAAAATCACTAATACAAGTACACTATAGTATACAGATTTTGGGTAAAATTGGAGGAACGTCTAAAAAACTAATTCTCGATCAAAATCACAAGAAACTGTATGCTATAGTACACAAATTTTGGGTAAAATTGGTGGAACGTCCAAAAAAAAAAACTTCACGTAGTACACAGTTTTTTAGTACAATTGGTGAAACGTCCAACTATTTAACGATCAAAATCACCAAAAAAATGTATACAATACTACATAGATTTTAGTTAAAATTGGTGCCACGCCCAAAAATCTATTACCAAAATCTGAATAATATAGTACACAAATTTTGAAAAATTGTTGGAACGTCCAAAAAACTGTTTCACGATCAAAATCACAAGAATTGAATACTATAGTACACAGATTTTGGGTAAAATTGGTGGAACGTCCAAAAAACTTTTTCACGATCAAAATCATCAAAAACTATATAGTGGTAGCACACAGATTTTAGTTAAAATTGGTACAACGTTCAAAAAACTATTTCACGATAAAAATCACCAAAAACTGTATACTATATAGTGCACAAATTTTAGTTAAAATTGGTGGATCGTACCAAAAACTTTTTCACGACCAAAATCACAAAAGATTTTATACTATAGTGCACATATTTTGGGTAAAAGTGGTAAAACGTCCCAAAATCTTTTTCACGATCAAAATCACCAAAATCAGTATACTATAGTACACAAATTTGAAGTAAAATTGGTGGAACGTCCAAAAAACTATTTCACGATCAAAATCACAAAAAACTGTATGTTGTAGCTCACGTTTTTTACTAAAAATAAATGAAATAGTAATATATTTTTTTAATAGTTCGTAACACTCAAATATATAAAAATGAAGATGCTAATTCATAATTAGTCACGAAATAGTTCATCTAAAATTGGTTTCACCAACTTTAGCTACTCAAGTAAAATCACAAAAAAATGTATACCATAGCTAGGGGTGTTCATAAACCCGCCAGACCCGACCCGCCCGCCCGACCCAAGCTGACCTGCCCGAAACCCGCAATTTTTACATGTTAAATTATCACCCGCAGTTTGATGATATGCATACCCGACCCGCCCGCTCCTACTAATATAAATATAATATATATTCAATCATCTGTCAAAGCTGGGTATTCTAGTTGTTGACAGGGTATTCTAGTTATCACCGGCATATTTCTTCCCAATTTGGTCATCTGCAGCTTCACTCCTACAATCCAACCAATTAAATTCTTGAACTAAAAATGGAGATCAGTGAAGGTGAGAGTGGAGAGAGATTAAAAAAACCAAGCAGATGGAATTTACTATTTGCTGTGAGTGGTCATTTTTCATTGCAAAAATTACAGCAAGATGTTTTTTTTTTTATTATTAAACAGAAAAGAAGAATTGCAGCAAGGGATTTTTCCAAAGGGCGGTCATTTTGGTTTGGAAAAAAAATTACAGTGAGGCCTTTTTAGAATAGTGCAACAATGAGAGTTTTTCAATGACTAGATTCTATCAAATTTTGTTAAAGTTTTTATTAGTTTTTTTCTTCAACCAACCCGCCCGCAAACCCGCTACACCCGATCAACTCGAATGAGGCAGTTTGTGAGTTTAAAATCGCAGGTGCAGTTTGCTAGTTTTGTAACCCGCCAATAGCGGGTCGGGTTGATTTTTTGTAGAAACCCGCCCAAACCCGCACGTGTTCACTCCTAACCATAGCTCACGCTTTTTGCTAAAAATAATTAACATGGTCATATATTTTTCTAATAATTTTTAAAACTCAAATATACATCTATGAAGATATTAATTAATTCTTAGTGAATAAATAGTTTGTCTACGATTGGTTTCACTAATTCAAGCAAAAACACAAAAAAAATCGTATACTATATAGCTCACATGTTTTTGCTAAAAGTGGTCATACACATTTTTTAATAGTTTTTAACAGTCTAATATATTGAATAACATATTTTCATGCTTATTTAGTCATAAAATGTGTTCATATACAATTGGTTTACCTAATTTTTGCACAGTCGAGCAAAAGCGCAGAAAATCGTATACTAATACTCACATGTTTTTGTTAAAAAAAGATGAAATGGTCATATAATGGAGATATTAATTCATAATCAGTGAATAAGTAGTTCATCTACAATTGGTTTTATTAATTCAACCAAAATCACAAAAATCGTATACTATATAGCTCACGTTTTTTTGCTAAAAACTGTCATATATTTTGAATAGTTTTCAACACCCAAAATATATAGCATAACATATTTCAATTCATATTTACTCAAAAAAATACTTCATATACAATTGGGTTCACTAATTATATATATATATATATATATATATATATATATATATATATATATATATATATATATATATATATATATATATATATATCGTATAAGCTCACGTCTTTTTGTTATAAACAGCTGAAATGGTCCAACATTTTTTTGATAGTTCTTAACACTAAAATATATACAGCATCAAAGATTTTAATTTACAATTGGTCAATAAATAGTTCATCTAACATTGGTTTCACTAATCTTTAACGAGTCAAGCAAAATTATGAAAAAACGAACACTACTACTAACGTTTTTTTTGCTAAAAATAGCTGAAATGGTCAAATTATCGTTTAATAGTTTCTAACGTTATTTAATGATGATCAGTCGTTCAACTTGAGAAATTCACAAAACTGAAAATCATCAGAAGCACAGGGATTTCCATACTACGTTTCAAGAAATATCTAGGATGTCAAATATTGTGCAACACATTCACATTCACAGTGTAAATGGATTACTAAAGACATCATCAATAGCACACGTGAATTTACTACAAGCAAAGAGAGTTCATTCAAAAATTAATAAGTAGAAACAAATAGAAAAAAAACCCAATTTTCCTGAAATCGAAAACCCTCAAAATCTGAAGATTGACAGACAAAGCATGTGGAGTTGGAAAGAATTGTGTGGTGTGGCAAAAATTAAAAAGAAAAAAACATTAGACATAATACCATCTGAATGATTTAGTACTCTTCCCCTTCATCTTCATCATCGACACCTTCGGCACCAACTTCCTCATAATCCTTTTCAAGGGCAGCCAAATCCTCACGAGCTTCAGAGAACTCACCTTCCTCCATACCTTCACCAACATACCAGTGCACAAATGCTCTCTTAGCATACATGAGATCGAATTTGTGATTAATTCTAGAGAATACTTCCACCACTGCTGTGTTGTTGCTTATCATGCACACTGCACGTTGTACACGTGCCAGATCACCACCAGGCACCACTGTTGGAGGCTGGTAATTGATGCCACATTTGAAACCAGTCGGGCACCTGTATGTGTACCAACGAAAAATCAGCAAGCATACCACCAGTCACCGAAAATAACATTGCAAATCATCCTACAGTAATCTTCTTTTTTAATGCTAAACATTATTTTTTTTATAACATTAGAACCATGAAGCTAACCATTCATTTAATCTCAGTATCCATATAATTAATATTAACAAGATACACTCAAGAAGCTAACCCCATTATCTTATGCTTGGACGGTAAAACTGAAACTTCTATATTAGGAAATGTGTAACTGACATAGAACTCACCAGTCAACAAACTGAATGGTCCTTTTAGTTTTAATAGTAGCAACAGCAGCATTAACGTCTTTTGGAACAACGTCACCACGATACATCAAACAGCACGCCATATACTTGCCATGTCGTGGATCGCACTTGGCCATCATACTCGAAGGTTCAAATACAGCATTTGTGATCTCAGGAACAGATAATTGCTCATGGAAAGCTTTAGCTGCTGAGATTACTGGTGCATAAGATGACAGCATAAAATGGATACGGGGATAGGGCACAAGGTTTGTCTGAAACTCAGTAATATCCACATTAATGGCCCCATCAAATCTCAAGGAAGTGGTCAATGATGAAATTATTTGTGAGATTAAACGGTTCAAATTCGTGTAAGTTGGCCTCTCGATATCCAAGGATCTCCTGCAAATATCATATATAGCTTCATTGTCCAATAGCACCACGACATCTGTATGTTCTAGAAGGGAGTGAGTGGACAAAACGCTGTTATAGGGCTCCACCACTGCCGTAGAAACCTGAATGTACATGAAAATTAGTTAATTCACAAAAATAAAACAATATGTTGAAAAAGTAATAATGTTAAAGGACTTGCATGTTTTTCATATAGTGTATTCAATGAATCAAAAGAAAAAATATCTTGAAAGGGAAAGAACAGCACATACAAATCATATGAGACAAATGGCATGAACAAACAATGAAACAGCTCAGCAATTGTAACCAATTTGATAACATTGTCGTATAAAAGAATAACCTGAGGGGATGGGTAAATAGTAAAGCCGAGTTTTGACTTTTTGCCATATTCAACAGACAAACGCTCAAGAAGCAGGGATCCGAGACCAGAACCAGTACCACCACCAACAGCATTGAATACCAAAAATCCTTGCAAGCCGGTGCAGTTATCTGCCAGCTTCCTAACTCGATCAAGGCATAGGTCAACGATATCCTTACCAACTGCACAATTGCATTTAATTAACATGAACCAAGAATTGCAGATTCACGCTAGAATATCATTCATCGAGAAAACAACAACAGCATGAAATGAATGTTACCTGTATAATGTCCTCTTGCAAAGTTATTGGCAGCATCCTCTTTACCAGAAATGAGTTGCTCGGGATGGAAGAGTTGTCTGTACGACCCAGTCCTAACTTCATCAACAACAGTGGGTTCAAGATCAAGAAAAATAGCCCTAGGTACATGCTTGCCAGCACTGGTTTCGCTGAAGAAGGTATTGAATGAATCATTTGCAATACCCACAGATGTGTCACTGCGCGTTAAGAGAGAGGGGCAAATGCATTAGATAGAAAGAACGAACACGTGAAAACAATGCTTGAACATGGAATGCAAATTCAAAAAAAAATGAAGCAAAATACATAATAGAGAATAATAGTACACTAAAACTCCATAGGATTTAGATTCATCAAGATAGTGTTTCAATACAAGTGAAGAAGAGGGACAAATGCATTAGATAGAGAGAACGAAGACAAGAACACAACGCCAAAAATGGAATTAAATTCAAAAAATGTCCCAAAATGCATAATAGAGAATAATAGAACCCTAAAACTCGATACGATTTAGATTCATCGAGATAGTGTTTCATTTGGGAAATTGAACAGAGGTTACTAACCGATCCGAAAGTAAGAAACAATCTACAAAGCTTATGAAGAAAAATATTGCCTGAAAAGACCGCATTAACAAAGGAAATCCGGATCGCGACAAAAAAAGTAAATAAATAAATGGATCCATTTCATAGAAATCCAAAGTCCATCGATGGATCTACAATAAATAATCAGAGAGCATTGAGAGATTGAGAGGGAGAAACAGGAGATTATAAGAAAGAGAAAAACCTAGGCATCATTCCGTCGGGCTGAATGCCATGTTCGAGACAATAAAGCTCCCAGCAGGAATTGCCGACCTGAATTCCAGCCTGACCAATGTGTATGCTTATGATTTCTCTCATCACTTTCAACTCAAATCGATTGATTCTTCTCTTCTCTGAATTAGATTTGATTTGTGGGAATGGAGGAGGAGAGAAGAAAGAATGAATGAAAGAAAGAAAGTAACAATAAAATTTCTTCTTTCTTTCGTTTAGTTTTCTCTTTCCTTTCTGGTTAATAAGGGCAATAGGCCAGAGCAGCGGTTTCCTTGTGAATGAATGAATGAATGAATGAAGTGGAATTTACCAATTTTTGGAATCCGGGCCGTGAGGTACGGGTGGGCCCCACCACCGCACCCTCACAGCTGTTGATTGGCCTCTACAGCTTGGCTTCATTTCTGGCCCACGCTGGATAATATATTACTACTTCATTATATATATATAATAAATAGCAAGTTATGAATCGATAAAAAGGGAAAATACTAATACAACACATAATTAATTGCCAAGCTTGTAGCATATATTTAATTACTAAAGAACAACTCCAATGCACTATTATCAATTCCTCATTTGATAGTTAATTAGTTATAACTTCATTTTAGTTGTGAGAACAAAATTATTAAACAAGGTTTCAATTTTATCAACATAATTTTGATAATGGACCTTATTTTGGCTATTTTTTAGGCTTATTTTGACAAAAATCAAAATACGAAAACAGTAGCACCTTGATTTAACTTTACAATCTAATTTGAATAAGCTTGATTGGATGTCCGGTAACAAAAGTATGCATAAATGAATTATATATTAAATTTTAGATAACTCAAAACATCAAAGTTATGGGCAATGTTAATTGATTCATGCATATACTTCTCACCTGACATTTAATTTTGATAATTCAAGTTGAGTTAAAAATATAACTGAAAGACTTACAAATTCAATGTTTTGTGTTTTATTAAATTCAAACTCGAAAATGGTGAAAATCATGTTTGAAGTCGAACGATATTTTTAAAACTGGAACGACATATATTAGATCCTGATTGAGAATTGTGGTAGGGCGGCCACGTAAGATTTTGGTGTTGCTCACCATAAGGAGGCCCAACATTCTTAACATTTATTATTCAAAATTGTTAATTCGATAAAATCATAAAAGCTGAATGAGTGAATGTGAATGTGAATGGGCCTGTTCAATGTTTATAATTTATATATAGGAGAAATAAATAAAATGTAAATGGGCTTGGGCCGTGTAATATACTTACTTATATACATGGCTTAATTGAAAGTAAGGAGCTAAATTGATTGACTGATTGCATGTTGGAAAACATATTCAATTATATTTATAATTAGCACGTGTAAAATGTAAATAAAACATATACATGTAGATATTATGTGTATAAGATACCATATACTAGACTCATGTATGCAAATTATAAAACAATTCACTAAAATAAAAAAATATAGACTATAATTTTATCATTAAGGTCCTGTCCATCTCTGTCTGCATCATGCATATCCAAGTCTAGCAAGCAACTGATATACCATTTTCTTTTTTACTTTTTTTTTTAATGCAAAAAAACAAAAAAGAAAAAGAAAATCCGAAAGAGGAGTTGAATAGTAAGACTAAAATGAGAATATGTATTTATGTGTGGTCTCTGATGCAAGTTCCAGAGTGTCATATATCGGTGTAATATATTATTTAAAATATCTAGGATTAATTAATGATACCTTTGGAATTGGATCATGAATATTAAATTAATATTCATCCAAATAGAAAAAAAAATTAGTTTTCTGAATGAAAACAAGAAATTAATAAAGAAATATCTCTAGGAGATATATAGATAGATTCCCATTATTTGTCATGATATCTTGTTTGCATGTGAGTAGTAAGCTAGCGTCTCCAATTCAATCAATTGGCACATTCATTCATTCATCAACCCTCTATTACACATATTGACAAAATATGTAGCCTCCTTTTCTGAATACAATAATTCAACATCATTTATACAGAGAGAGAGAGAGAGGGGTAGAGAGATAGTCCACTAGAAATATAGAGAGAGATACGGCCTCCCGGTGCGTGCTGATTGGTGGGTAGGTGGATCGATCATGAAATTATCGGGGGGAATGGATGTTATGAAATCATCGGATCTTGAGGAGTGGGAGCTGGTGGCTGATGATGATGAAAGAATCATTAATATTGATACTAATACTAGTACTACTAGTCTTTCCCACGTGATCAACTACTTCCACTACTCTTATTGTCCTCCACCGCTCGAATTCGTCCACAAAACAGGGCCGTCGAATCAGCTGCTCTTGTTACCACCACCACCACCACCACCACCTGTCTCGATTGATCATTTGAAGACGATGGTGCAGCCACCACCGCCACCAGGAGGAGGAGGAGGAGGAGCACGGGAGAGTACTATTAGTACTTTAGAGGAAGACCATGTTTCATCGCCAAAGTTTACATCCGACGATTTCAATCAATACGGTCATCCTTGTAAACAAGTTGTTGTTGTTGTTGACTCAGAAATGGATAAGGGAATAACTGCTGTAAAAGAAGAAGATGGAGGTGGGGCAGGAGGGGGGTTGTTCAAGATATGGAAATGGAGCATAAATTATAATAAGAATAGTGTACGGATTGGAGGTGCTATTTGCTCTTTTGCTGCTATATGCATCATGAGTTTAAGCTGCACCAGGAACATTAATAATGATCAAACAAAGCTTCATCACCACTTTCAGATTTACACAACCACCACCAATGATCGTCGTCAGCAAGTCGTGGTTCACCGTGCAAACGAAGCATTAATTTCGACAGGAGGAAGAATTCCCTTCATCGCCACAGCTGCCCGTATCACTTTTGGTGGTTACTATGATGCTTCTGCTTCTATTTAATCATTTCATGAATTATATATATATTTTTCTATGTCGTCTCTCATCGATCACTCTGTAATATATATATCTATATTATATCTTGCCTGCCTGCATGTTGTAATTAATAAACTTGTTGTATTCATGTGTATAATAGAAATTTGTATTATTCAGTACAATAATAATCGTATATTGGCTAGACTATTTAATCTTATCTGCTCTCTAGTGTTCCTCCTCAGCCTGTGCAATATTATAATCAATCATGGTCATGTATTATATTTCTATATATGTAACTAGAAAAAGTATATATACATATAGACATGTATATAGACCGGACCATTTTTGTTCCTTAATGTACCAAAAGCTTTGATTAGTAATAGTGGTAATTAAGGTCATTTTTACAATTTCCATTAATAATTTATTTTGTTGCTTTATTTATCCTCCCTGTTATTTTATTGTTATGAATGAATTACACTCCGGCATTGCTGTATAACCCCAATATTTCAATTTCGTTTATGTGCGTGCAGTGTTAGTTCACAAGGAAGGAAGGAAACTGCAATAATTTTCCACCTAGCTTCTTGACCGTTGAACGAATTAACTGCTGCAATAACTAGATTATTAAAAGACAAGAAATTCAGAAATCGAGTATTATTATTATTATAGTATATATAAAGGAAATAATTGGAACATATCAATACATATATGTTCAAAGAAACAACAACAGTACTAGTCACTATATGAATTGATTGAATGAATCAGAAATAAAAAATAAAAAAATGATTTAAAAGCAGGAAATGAAACTTGGGGGATCGGAACAGATCGATACAAGAGCTAGGCGATCGTCCGAAGCAGAAAAACGAGGTGGATTGAGTTAGACGACATTTGGAATTAATGCATTATTAATAATAATAATAATATGAATAGTAGGTAGGTAATTGGATCAGAAAAGCAATCCAAAGGCCAATGCAGAAACGGAAGCGAAGACAGCTGGGAGGAAAGTGGTGGCGTCGGAGATGGGGCTGGGGGCGGGAGCCGCCTCATGCACCGCCGCCACATTTTGTACTGCGGCCATAAAAGCCACCGCCACCACAGCAACAAGGAACATGTTCATCTTCATTTCTGATATAAATATAATGATCTTCTTCTTCTTCTTCTTCTTCTTCTTCTTCTTCTTCTTCTTCTTCTTCTTCTTCTTCTTCTTCTTCTTCTTCTTTAGTTTATTATTTATTAATTGCAGTGGGGAGAGAGAGAGAGAGAGATAGAGAATATGAATGAAGAATGTGCGAGAGAGAAGAGATATAAATAAATAAATAAGGGATGTTTGTTTTTACATTGGTTGGTTGGCTCAAAATGTTTTGAATTTTGAAAAGAAAAGGAGCGATGATGATTGATGATGATGATGCGATGGAGATGGACAAGGAGAGGGTGCCCGATTACTTTGGGTGCCATACATTACAGTTGTTGCCAAGCCATTCATACATTTTCTTTCTTTCTTTTTTATTATTTTATTTAAATTACTATGGTTATTTATTGGCCACGAGATAAAACACAAGAGTCCTTATATCATATGGCACAACTCCAACAGCTTCTCCTCTCATAATAATCTATACTAGTAATTGTACTCGTGCGATGCACGTGACAACAAATTGCATTGTTTTGATGTTGTAAGAATATAAACAAACGTTTGATGTATCGTATGATCAAAATTCTATGATACTGGAACATCATTAAGTATACTACACACAAAAAAAGGAAATAACTTTACTATTGAATAATTTTCCAAATGAATTGAATCAGCTAATACCAGTAGATTGAAAATTTGGACCAGGAAAAAAATCATCAACTATGTCTTTCATGTTGAGCTTAAAAGTAATTAGATTTAATACCTTAGTTAACATAATCAAAACTAAACTATCAACAACATAAAAGGCCATCTATACATCTTGCATCGGAACTAAGCCCTTCTCCACTGCCTCATTTTCAGGCTGTTTTGCCACTGGAATTAACAATTGGAAAATTAAGAAACAAAAATAAATATAACAATAAATTAAATATCGCATACAAACAATAAGTCTTGAAGGTCGACTTCCAATAGCTTGTGGCTCCGCCCATTTTTGGTTAATTCTCTCAAATCATCCATTTCAATAACATGTCCAATAACATATAAAATGAAATAATTGTTATACATAAAATTTGAAAACTTTGGTATAAATTAATGAAACACATAATTTAACAATATGAAATTACCGATAAGCCATGATGAAAAAAGATGTAAACTAATTGCCACACAGTCAATAGGATGAAGAAGATAAAAAACAAAATCTAAAGTCGGGTTACCAAAAGAAGAAGCCTTAGGTATGGAAGAAATAAAATTCAAATGTTGCAGACATTATGTAAAACGATGTCACAAAATTCGCTAGGGATGAAATCAGATTTATTTACCCTTTTTTGTAAAAATCGAAAATCAGATTATTATAAATAATATCTAGGAGAATTTGATGAAAATCGATAATAATATTTAGGATATTAAAATTTGATAAAAAAATCAAAAAATAATATTTAAAAGATAAAAATCTGATAAAAATCGAAAATAACATTTAAAATAACTGTTAGAAGATAAAAATTTGATAAAAATCGAAAATAATATTTCAAATAATGTTAATGAGATAAAAGTTGATAAAATACGAAAATAATAATTAGAATAATATTTAGGAGATAAAATATGATTAAAATCAAAATTATTATTTAAAATAATATTTAGGAGATAAAAATTTGATAAAAATTAAAAATAATATTTAGGAGACTATAATCTGATAAAAAACAAAATTAATATTTAGGAGATAAAAAACTAATAAAAACATGATAAAACTCGCCCCCAAATATTTAAAATATTATTTAGGAGATATAACTTTGATAAAATTTGAAAATAATATTTAGGAGATAAAAATCTGCTAAGAGTTGAAAATTATATTTGAAATTATAGTTAGGAGATATCACATTGATAAAATTACAAAAATATTATTTATAATAATATTTAGGAGATAAAAATTTGATAAAAATAAAAAATAATATATAGGAGACAAAAATCTGATAAAAATAAAAAATAATATTTAGAGGATACAAATATGATAAAATTTGAAAATAATATTTAAAATAATATTAAGGAGATAAAAATTTGATAAAAATTGAAAAAAAATTACAAATATGACATTAGGGTTCTTAGGGTTGCCATAGCGTTTCTTTCTTTCTTTTATATATAAGATGTATGTATGTATGTGTGTAGTCGTTTCATAACTTATTTCTATCCCTCATAAACACATATTTATTAATTAAAACACTAGTATGATTGAAAACTTGAAAACATTGAAATCCAAACAATTAACAACTTCTTCGGCTGAGCCAAGGATAAAACGAATAAACCTAATATGTGCAATTTACATAGAAAAATTAATGAGGCAGGTCAGCTTTGATTACTCATGGTAACAAACAACATTTCGCAGCTTTAATAAATATGCATGACAAAGGCTGTATATAATAACTGACATGCGGCACCAGAGAGTGAGATCTAGTAACTAACTGGCTTGGGTTTTCGCAGCTTGAAGCATTTCTACTATCAGTGTCTTCACATACCCTACAATCAGTTATTACTCTAATCATTAAGTCTATGAACGAGAATAACGGAAAAAATTAACGTCAATTCCCATTTATCCTTGGTCTCAATATATTCTCGTAGCTCCACATTATTATTTGTCATAATTCATATTTTGTTACTGTGACTCACTTTCTGTCTGCCGCACGCCTT